TACAGTGTCTCTCCTGAAGACGGCGTGAACGCCTGATTAATGGTTGTTCAATCAAGAAAATTGATTTTAGTGGGGAAAATCTACTTCCAGTCGGGATTGCGCCATGCATCCGTCTGACTACTATATCTTGGGAATGATTGAAAGGTGTTTCACCTTCGTGACCAATACAATTATTGGGTAGAGTCCTAGATCATGAATTTATTTATGGATTGCGCCATGTACGTTGTAATCAAATGAAATTGGGTACGATGCGAAGGTCGAAAAAGAGAAAATATAAGTACGTCATGAATATGTTCCTTTTTGCCAACTTCACTTAGTTTATTCAATGTTAATTGTTTTTTCTGGGGATGCGATAGGGATTCGTTCGCGTTATAATATATCACGCATCTTAAATTTTGTGACTCAACTTAGAATCGGCTTCTATCTCCGATCCTAAACGTGTCCGTCGTGGTTTATTGCTATTGGCGTCTGGCCCAAAAGACGCTGATGGGCATAAATGTAGGGCGGGTTCTTGAATCCTACCATTCTACCATGCCATACCGTGAGCCGCTAGCCCTTATATCATTTCTACTCCTGTTCTTTCTCCTTTTCCCTTTGATATTGTATATATATATTGCAGGACTATTCATTATGAGCCGTCCAGCATCCAGCCGCTCCACCGACACTGACCACTCCGGACTCTTCAGATTGGAGGGAATGAGATTCGAAGATGCCCCGTACTCCGCGGTGAGCTTTTGTTCTAAGAGAGAAGAAAGAAAGAAAAAATATTATTTACATAATATATAATATACTCATTTTTAGAAACACTGTGATCAGTGTTTTTCCCTTGGGGAATTTTTAAAAAAGAAGGCCTCACTCGCACAGAGTGAACTGCAACAGAAATTCCTAATAAAAACCCATGAAAAGATGGAGGCTGTCAAAGAATTCGAGATGGGGTTGAGCCGCCTTCTCCACCGACTTCAAGTGAGTAAAAGAGAACTGTTTCTACCATTACTTCCGTTTATTAATATTTATATTTCTAGGAAGTATCGGACCGAGAAAATCGGCCGAACTCTCCTATGCCACCAGCTCACGAGAGACATTAATGGTAGAGGATTCCGCACACTTCCACGCGAACCGAGAAATTTGTAAGTGTTCCCAAAACCTTTGTATGTTTCGTTGTAACCTTAAATTGTCAGACTAAACATTTTTCTTTCAGAAGAGCGCATCCCGACCACGAATTTCATGAAGAGGTGTTGAATAACATGCTTGTAAGTTTTAATATTTTTGGAATTCTACCTATGATTTTCTCGTCCTTTATAATACAATTAATTTCACCCTTTTTCCAGTGCCGTTCGTGCGGCATCTACGTCAAACAGATGCAAGAGCTCAGTGAGCTCCAGGCAAGAATTGAGCACGTCAAAGCCTGGGGAGAACGATCCTACGAGGCAACTATCGAGCAAGACAGGGTCAATAATGAAATCGACGACCATATTCATAATTTGCTCGTCCTTGTCACACTAGTGTGTGACAATTCTGAGAACGAAAGTGAACTTTTATTCTTTTTGTTTCTTTTTTTTGTAGTAGCAATACATGTATCGAATATTTCCAGTTCTCCGCCACAATATCAGAAGACGTGGAGGACATCAGGATAGCGTTCAGAAGAACGCTAATAATGCCGGACCGCGAGCCCAATGGGCTCGAACTCTAGGCAGCGTCAAAAGGAAGAAGAAGACGACTTGCTCATTTCGCTCCTCTTGTTGTGTTATGAATAAAAATTCGAAGAAGTGTAGTTTCCTTTTGGGAAGGGGGGAAAAGGAACTCGCTCGGGATCCAGCCGATTGCGAGTTATTCTATGCCCTTTTCTTTCTTTTTATTGTGGGCGCCTAAGTTCTATTGCCTAATAAATGACTTGTGTCCTGGTAGGTGAAGGTTCCTGTTGAAGACTTACGCGTGCTACCGTAATCGCGACCTCACAGGTTGTGTTTACCTGGGCGATGGTCTGGCAGCAGACAGCCGNCGAGTACTTCTTCTAAATCGCTAAGGTGCTGGTCCACCGAGTGACTAGCGATAATGATATCATCTTGGTATGCGAAACAACAAGCTCGTAGTCCTCGAATTAGGCTATCCGCGACTCGCTGGAAGGTTGCGGGTGCGCCTTTAAGCCCTTGGGCCATTACGGTAAAGTGATATAGCCCTAGAAAGGAAGAGAACGCTGTGCGTTCTTTATGTTTCTCTGTGAGTGGTATTTGAAAAAAACCGCTCTTAAAATCAAGAACTGTGTACAATTCTTTACCGCTTACTAGGTCGAGGATATCCTGCATATGTGGTATGCAGTATGTTTCTGTTTCTGTGATTGAATTAATTTGTCTGTAGTCTACAATAAATCTCCATTGGTCTCGTTTGGGACCTTTTTAACTAAAACAATTGGGGACGCGAATTTGCTATTGCTTGGTTCTATGTTATTTGTTCTCAACATCTCCTTAATTTGGCGTTCAATTTCTTGACGTTTTTCCAAAGGGACTCGGTATGGGCGTTGTTTTGGTACTTTAGAGTGTGGTATGAATAAAGAGTTCGAAAAAGCGTAGTTTTGGGGGGGGGGGAACTCGCTCGGGATCCAGCCAATTACGAGTTTTCCTGCGCAATTTTTTTTATTGTAGGCGCCTAAGTTTTTATTGCCTAATAAATGAATTGTGTCCTGGTAAGTGAAGATTCCTGTTGGAGACTTACACGTGCTACCGTAATCGCGACCTCACAGGTTGTGTTTACCTGAGCGATGATCTGGCAGCAGACAGCCGCTGATAATTATTAATGGTCGCAGCTGCTAATACCTTGCGTATGCCACTTCCTGACGCTCCAGCTCGGCTAGGACTTGCGATTATACTGAATCTTCGTGAACAGCCGCTGAACGTTGGATAGTGGAAGGAAGGTTTATTTGTAAAGCATCGACCGGAAGTCTCGCCCCGAGATTTCAATCTCGATTGATACGAAGTATTTAATAGCAGCCTCTCTGATGTGCTCACTATATGTGGTTCTCGAATACCTCGAGCATTCCACCGTATCATTTTCAATCTCGACTGGGTACGAAGCGCTTAATAGCAGTCTACCCTATCCAATCATAAAAGGAAATGAGATTCGCTACTTCTCATTTATTAAGCATGTTTCGAGAAGCCTGTCATGTCAGTTCCTGGAAGGGTGGAAAAGTGACAGAGGGGCTCTCTAAAATGACGTCAAAAATGGCGATCGAGTCCTTATCTGATAACTATATCAGCGTCTATAGAAAATGAATTATCGTTAGCTACAATGTGTACAACGTCCCTACCTTCTGGACTAGTTCCTAAACCAGTAGTACAATTACAGGGTCGTGGTCATACAGATCAATGATTACAGTCATTGTCTGTCTTCTATAGGAAAAAAAATCAACAAGAAAAAAAATATATATTTGATGAAATTGAGGGATAAGGCTTTTATTACTTTTGTTTTTAACATGAGAGCACTTCCTCCATAACGCCTATTATACTCTTGATATGATTAACCAGCTAAAATACCAAATCATCTAGGAATTACTTATTGACCTTGCACCACCGTGCTCTGCCGGACATTATACGGCCAATGAACGCATGGAATTAGCAGCAGGACGCTATGCCTGAAGCTGTCCTTGAGAATATTAATACGTATTCAATCCTCATCATCCTATTTTTGGGTTTTTGTCTTATATTTTTAATACCCGGGCGGATGGATGCCCAATTTTTGTTCAGAACTGGGATAGATAAAAGAATGCTAAATAAATTAGCGTTCATACTTGTTAGCAATATCAACATCTTAAGGTTATCCAACCATGGGTTATATGTTGACAAATGGGTTTGCCGTGATATAAGGGAACTCGTCTCCAGGACTAGCTAGAACTAATTACTTTAGTTCTGTTTGAATTGCAGTCAAAAGGTGCATTGGATGCACGTTATTTGACAAGAAAGACCGTGCTCTGGATGTACACAGTTGAGCTCGACATGGCATGGCAATTTTGGCTGACTGTTGAGCTCGAATAGACTTCTGACCTGAAGAAATCTTTCTTTTCTTCTAGAGAAAGAAGCGTGCCGGCTGGTCTACTGTACCTAAGGTCTCGAGGAATCGAATTCATGAGGTTTGAAGACATATTTTTTTATTGCAGTGTCCGGCACAGGGAAGAAAAACACAAGTTGAAATCCAGCGAACAAAAAATCAACATTGAACTTAGTGCAACATAAAGTACTTGAAAAGTGGGAAAAGGTAACTGCAGATAAAACTGTGGATAAATCGTGCTAGGTAGCAAAAGCATAGTAAGAAAACTTAACCACCGACCGAGTCCCAAGATGTCCTCATTTTAGATGACGCCGCACGATGTTCTTGAGTTGTATTATACTTTGAGTCATGGCAATTTTTTTAGTTAGCTTGAAATATTCAGCAACCGCCCTTAAAGTGAAGAAGCTGGCTCTTGTACTTGTCTTAGGTGTTGGTACGAAAAGCTTGTTTTTCTCTGCTCTCGTAATAGTGCGTCGAATAGTAAAAAAATCATCGACCTTTACATTGATTTTCCCGGTGAGCATCTTAAAAACGGTGGTCAGATCGAGCTTTTTCCTCCTATATAGAAGAAAATCCAGTTCCAACATTTTATTTCTGATGATACCTCGCGGAATCGATTTGTAGTTGAGCCCAAGGGCTCGGATCAACATCTTAATGGTGAAGTTGTTCTGAACAGCTTCATATGAAGAAGATGGTATCATACACAAGTCTAGACGATAAGGTGATATGAGAAAGCTCGTGAATCTGCAATGTGAAACAGCCTCTACGAGCAGCGCTCAATTCGGCTGCTCATTTTCGCGACACCGCTCAGAAGGACCACGCCTTGAAAAGAGAAAATATTTTAGCATGAATCTTGGACGCAGCTTTTATCATGCTAAGAGAGAACTGCATTTGCACAATCAGAAGTGCGGGAATACACATTCATGTCATCGGGTTGTTTTATTTTCCCCCGTAGGCCAGGGCAGCTACCAACTGAATCCTTTTACATCTACTGGAACGACGGCCATTTCGCTTATTTCAGTAAAACTCTGGAGCTCAGCCATTTCTGCTAGACTACAGGGCATGATGAATAAGCTAGAATTCCGAAAAGCTGACAGTCACGGAGCTACCTTACCTCGCTTCGGCTCGGGCGATTGACAGATCACCCGTAAAGCAGAAAAAGCAGAACGAAAACCTTGCATGATGTTCGCGATTGGGATTGGGTCTGATTATGGAATGATTGTGCATCATGATGGTGTGTAAGTTCATTCTCATCTCCTCACGTTCGTAACCACGCCGTTTTCAATGTGAGTTCACGAATTGGTGATATAAGAACTACGAAAGCTTGCATCTTCAGAGCTCATCACTCACTAATGTGCCCAGTCAGCCTACCAATGTGGATCGGAGTGCTTACGTTATCGTCCTTGACTGCATGTAATCGTCGGACATTTAGAAGAAACAGGAGCCCCGTTAAACCTGCTAAGGTAGGGTAAAACTAAGGTAGATGTGGTTCAGCTTCTCTTTTGTGAATGTAGGTCGACGTTGTGACCTACTCATCTCTGACCCCGTGCTGAACAATACTGTATCAGGAGTTGCATCATCAGCAATGCATATGTACCCAAGAGTGCTGTAGCTGATGTGGGTCCGTAAAGAGTGCTTGAAACAGGAGTCAGCAGCGGAAAGGACCTCTTTCAGTATGAGCACACCATCTCTTCCTTCTTGTCCTTGATAAAACCAGTGTGAAGAACCAGGACTGCTTTTTTGTGTTTGTTTGAATGCTAGATCGGTGAATGCTATATAAATGCGGCCTTTGCGATGAATATGTAAACCGAAATAGCGGCAGGTATAACGTGGGAACAGCTTGAACAGTCCGTGGTTAGAAAAGAAATGTTCGATACTAGATCAACTTTTGCTCCGGAAGTACGTCGAATCCGCTGAGGCTTCGCCCCACCGAAGCAAACACCCACGATATAACCGACCCGAGAAGAGTTCAGCACGTAATGTATCTAATAGAATGAGGAAGCAGTAGTGCGGCCAAATCTGTCTTGAGATGTCACTCGTGTAGCGCAATGTGATGAGGTTCAGAGAGTACACCAGCAAGACGAAAACAACCGTGCTCGATGAAAAGTTGTGAGATAAAAAGGTTCCAATCAAAACACTGTTATGTGTTGGCAGTGATACAATCTATGCAACAAATCCGATCTACGTACTCATTGGTCAACCCATTCATCATAGCGCTTGAAGAGGATCGTGGATTTCCCTTTCCCAGCATGAAGTATGTTTTGGTTGCAAAATGATCTAACAACTACTACTAACTACTTTAATTTTAATGCCGTGAGCCGCTTAATGCTGATGGTGAGATGGTGCCGCAAGTTCAACAATGCGACGGCGATCCGCAGCTACATATGACCAGAATTTCAGCGTGCAAACTTCGAAATAAAACTTTTGATTGCGGCTCATCGTAATATTGGCAGTGCTACGATGTAAACCGCAAGCATGTCTCTCATAGAAATTGAACCACAATCATACCCAGTTTGCAAGCATCCTCAGCAATCCAGAGCGCATGCGTTTGTTTTCCATGGAAGTCAAAGCACAGAGGCACAGGAGTGGCCTCAACGGATTTCGTAGGGCATCGGGAAGAGGACTATTGAACGGGTGGGAAGTCGGATGGCGAGGAGCGTCTAAATGTGGTTGTTCAGTTACAGGCAATTCAGTGACCAAATCTTCTGGTCTACTATAGAAGGAACATCTTTTTGATGGAACTTGAGTAGGGGGGAACACAGGAGTACATATGTCAGTGCATATGTTTGGACGCTGAAGGGTAAGACGCCAAGGTATTGAGTATTGTAGGGAGAGGGGAAAAAGAAAACATTTATCGAAAAATCACGTACAACAGCTTTGTTCCCTGTGAGCCTATTGATATAGTTGGAAAAAAGCTTGCGTAAAGTCGTTTGCTAGAAAATGTAGCATAGTGGGAATGAACATCTGTGGACGAGAAGATTAAAGTTCGAAATAAGAAACACCGGTATGGTCTATGCGCTTCGTCCCCTCCCTCAAGAATAATCACTGATGGGAACACCAAGCGTGTAAAACGAGATAAGCGAGACTGTTAGCTTCATTTCACATTATAAAAAAGTGCTTTTAAAATTCCCAGAAAGGAGGTGAGGACTTCGACGATGTAGGTACTGGAGCCAAGGAAATCGGCGTCAAAACTGTTCAACTTCTAGTAATGAGTGTCTGCCGATGTACAAGTCAGTGCTTTTATCTCCTCTTATCGGTGTACCGACCACGGAATAATGGAAGGCTTGGTTGGGCTAGGCGGGTATTGATCCACGATCCGAACACGTGACTATGCGTGTGAAATAGTGCGCCCCTCGCCAATACACCACCCCAGGCATCTGACTGATAAAGGTAGTCAGAATAATTTGGAAATCTTTGAAATGCTTCACTCTGCAGTGTGTAAGTCCTGAGATCATTGTCAATTACTTAAGATGCATATAAATTCTTTTTCAAAGGAATGCTCACCTGCACTGTTTTTTTTTCAGGTGGTAAGACGGATTTTCAAAAAACCAGCAGTAAGCAGGTCAAGAGAATCGACGACAACCGTATCGAAAGAACGTTCCAAGAGAGTTATTCACAGTACTCCAAAAGCTTCAATATCATCTAGTCATGAAGCCGTTGAACCTAGAGTAAAAACCAGTCATGAAGCTGTTGAACCTAAAGTGAAGAAAAAAGTAGAAGAAAAAGGTAGGCCGATGAAAGCGCCTTCGTATAAAAATCAAACCAGCCGCGCAATTATAGTGAAAGGACTTCAAAAAACGTGCTGTGCATTGAAGTACCTACAAAGGTATCGGACGTATAGTCATTTACTGCATGACGGTCACGGCGCATAACACGAAAGGCTAAAGTGGTCGGGTTATCAGTTTGCCGGTACTCATTCGGCTAAAAAAACATGTAGTATGTTTCAGAATCATGGTAACTCATTAACTGCAAAATCTTAAAAGCCCCCAACCGGAGTAATGCAATGTAGACTACTCATACCTGTCTCTAATGCATTCGCCTTTCTCCTGTGGAGCAGTATTAATTGCTCGTTTCGTTGTTCGTCTGAGCACAGAAACTATCAGGATTAGCGTATTCAAGGGAATGTTGACCTTCCCTTCCCCTTTAGGTTTGTCCTCAACCAAAACGGGCTTTGCACAGGTTCCACGAAGAGCGAAAGGCTATGACGCTATCTTTTGCCAGAGCCTTTTCAATCATAACGCTATTAGGAGATGAACATCGGTTGCTAATTGAAGAAAATGCACAGCCAATTTTGAGCGCAACAGAAGTGGTGCTAAGGCCATGTGAAGGTACATGATACATAACGTGAAAGGCACAGTAGTGATGGACCTCAATAAGGCCCTGTACTCTTGCTATGGTTGTTTATGTCAGTAGCAATGAAAAAGTCCTTGTAATTCAGGGGATTCTATGGTAGCTTTAGAATGCCGCGTTATTAATGTTTCCTATTCTCAAAGTTGAAAAGCGAAGAAGCAAAGACCACTCGTCCATATTCTCTATTCTATAAAATCTATGAAGAAAAAGCCATATCTCTGCTGCCACTCTGCTTGTGCTGTTTCTTTTTAAAATGGATCTCGCACTACTCTCCCTAAATTATCCCTTGCTATAGACATCAACCTAAAGTCGTGACATAGGAACTGCAAAATTTTCACAACAGCTTCATGAATAGCAATGAAAACACCATCCAAGTTATAGTTATAGACACACATCCACCGCCAGAAATACGGCCGTTGCCAGAATCACCAAAAGAAGTCCTTTATACTGCACGGAAGTTCACATCTTCATTCGTGGTAACCGATTTCAGTCCTTCACTCATTATTTCCAATCATGAATCACAAAGACTCTCGCTCCACCCACGTGCTTGTAGGCTAATTGTAAGCGGAAAGACGAGGACGCTACATAGCTAGGTGCATTGTTATTTTGCAATGCGTCAACCTCAATGTGGTATAGTTTCTATCAAAAGGAAGTCTTTATCCGTGGAGGCATGAATAAAACAGTAGCACACAAGCAACTAACCCGATTGGAATAGAATCGAGTAGCACTTCAACATCATCGCTGTTGCGGAAGCTACAGCTTGGTTCATTCCATCCACGTCTTCTTAACTATTAGCTTGAGTATACGATACAAGTAAGCAGTATACATTCAACATAGGTCAAGACTGAACCTAGAGGCCCTACCTATGAGGTGTTTGGAGGAAAACAGCAGCGAAACCAGCAACATACATTTATTGTTGTCCAGTGCCTATTAGCAACATGCGTGAAGGTGGGTAGTGCCACGGGAAGCTTCACCACACCCCTGGGGAAGGCATGGATTGGTACTCCCCCAAGCAATACCAGTCTTCTATCCTCCCGGTGTGTCAGAAGGTTCAACTTGTATCAGATTCCCTATGCATTGTCTGGCTCTGAAGTCAAGTTATTGTATGAACCACAAATACAAAACCTCACCCAGTGATCAGTAATCATGAGTGCATCCCTATGCGACTACTGGGCAANGTAGTGCCACGGGAAGCTTCACCACACCCCTGGGGAAGGCATGGATTGGTACTCCCCCAAGCAATACCAGTCTTCTATCCTCCCGGTGTGTCAGAAAAGTCAACTTGTACCAAATTCCCTATGCATTGACTGGCTCTGCAAGTAATTGTATGATCCACAACGCATACAAAACCTAACCCAGTGATCAGTAATCATGAGTGCATCCCTATGCGACTACTGGGCAACCACCGCAGCTCAAGAAATTAAATAGTGGGAACTGAAAATGTTTCATTGAGGTTTCAATATCAAAACCAGCGTAACTCATTCGAGCTCCGAAACCCTGCGTGTGGTGGATATCTTTATTTATTGTCGGTGAATGATTGGCATCACTGGTGACGGAGGCCTGAGAAAATCGTTGTTTTATCAAAGTTATGATTACCTCTCGTTAACAATTGCCGTTATCGCTCAGGTCTTCCTTCCATAACATTCTGCCCTCCAAAAATGGATAAGAAAAAGGGAATGAAAAAAGACCGAATGTCAAGAAACGATGTCTTATGGGTAGACTGCTTCATTGTAACCCATCGAAAGTCATACGTGGTCTTAGGGGGCGTATAAACTGTTGATAAATAGCGCTTTCAGAATTTCAGATGGAAGAGACTGTTATATCGTAGACGAAGATGTTTTTAGGACGAACCACTGAGAATACAGCGAACGCAACATGCTTCGGATGAAAGCATTCATGACAATTTTGAGCAGGTACCACCTTTATTTGGCATGAATACCTTGAATCATCTTACTTATCAAACAATAACATTGCCAAGATAACTCAAGTTTGTCGAATAGATGGATGGAATTTTGAGAGGCAGACCAATTTCAGAATCGGGCGCAACGTATTCGTACTGAAGACGATGGAACTTATCTCGATGCTCCGTCGCTTCAGGTGATCATAATTCTTTTCTTAACACTGATAGGCATTTTCCGAACAACGGTATAAACGAAAATTTCTCCAAACGTAACAGTAGCAGACCAAAGAGTGTCAAATGAGATAGAGCACATCCAAAACCACAGCGGAGGTCTACTGATGTAGAGCTGAGGTATCCATTGGGACTCCTAGACTGTCACTGGTTCCATCACCCATTTCGTATCGACGATAGGTCTTGACACTTCTGTTGTAAGGAGGATGGAGAATGAGGACTATTTCCCGTTAACACGGGTGGGCTCACATATGTATCTCATACTAACTGACTGGACATTTCTGATCACGAAATTTCGTACTCCACTCCCTGCTTTATTTCATCGTCATGAATACATCTTCACATCATGCACCAACCTTACTCTACCCTGTAGTGAATAAAGTTGGAAATTTTGGAACCAAAAATGTTGTTTGAAAATTTCGACTGAACCGTGTGAACCAGGTGATAGAGGAAGCAGAACTTCTCCTGATGGAGCATTTCTCAAAGAAGGGCCTCTGTCTTCTCAGGTAGCTGGCTAGGAAGACACCACCGTTAGAAGAAAGTAAACATGTTTTTTATACTTGTGTGACTTCCTGACTCGCCTTAGCAGGCTATACTCTGAGTCTTCTGCGTTTTTCACGTCCGAGTAACTTGTGCCAAAACAAAGCGTGTGTCAAATTTCAAATGAATTATTGCTTACCAAATATCTCTCCCATTCTTTCCCAAAGTCATTCCAGGTCATAAGAAGACAGAATTCGAACAAGTCTAGACGAAGACTTTTCTTTGACTTTTTTTTTACAGAGAGCAGATACATCAGTGGATTCTGATCTCGGCTCATTACGAGACGCAGTAAAAGAGCTAGTAAACATACGTGATAATATTTCAAAACGCCAAACGACGTCAGGAGAGTCTATAATCGGGGATCATTCGAGTCCAAGTGGAAAGAGTGATACGGGCGACACATTACTGATAGAAAAGGCTGAAGAAGCAGCTGAAGAGTTTGAAAAGAAACATCCCAAGAAAACGGAGGCCACGAAGAGCGAGAGCGAACGCAGAAGGAAGTCTTCTTCTCTTACTGTTAGGAAAAAACTTTCGAAGGAAGCCAAGGAGGAGCATTCCCATAAGAAAATGGCAGATGGAAAGAAATCAAAACAAGGAACAGTGGGTGGAAGCAAGGATACGCAATATGAGAAGCATAATCTGAAGTATTCTTTATGCCAAACACAAAAATCTGCGTATACCATGGATACAGAACCATCTTCTCCAAGAATTGTGCATAAGAAAGCTCAAGGACAACCTGCTAGAAAGAAGGCTTCCACAACAAGTACCCATTTCATGCAAGTAATCAGGAGAAAAGGAAGCTGAGAGCTTGCAATGTAGGCAGTTAAGATTTCTCCTGGCTACACAGGCAATTGCTGTTGTAAACGTTTACTTTTCCGAATGTTAAGTGACCAACGAACTTTAAGTATTTCAGGGACAATCACTCCATTCATATGCATTCGACGGCATGCGGCATGTTTATGTATAGTCAAGTTTCCGTCAAAGAATTAACGTTACAATTCGTTCACTTATTCAATGCCTGTATGTGTCTTCATAGTATTAATGAAAATTATTGCGTGAATCATGTAGTCTTGAAGAAAAACGAGAGGCGTAGCTGTTCAAAGATTTCGAAGAGCACAGTAGTCTCTCTACGGCTTCGCCGACTGATCATATAATTTACGCGGAGCACCCGTCCCTTTGTGTTTTACACTTCACGATTGTAAACCGTTTTCCAAGATTCCAAGACTGCTGGTCAGCTAAAGTACGTCGCAAAGAAGACTTCAGTAAAGGGAAAATGACCGGCCGGCCGATGGAGAAACTATGTCTAAAGTGAAAGGAACCAATTAAAAGGTAGGACGTCAACCAGAAAAGGTGAACAGGACCTCCTACCCCAGCTGTGGACAGTATGTAAGGCTAGCGAAAATTGAACAATTTCGGCCAAAGAAGTCTCTTCGAATGGAGACTGTTAAAGTGGAATTGCTCATCTTGTAGCTCCGAGAAGTTGCCGATGTTGTGAAGCGTAGAAACATTCACATCCGCTTTCAAGTGACAATCTGAAAGGAATCAAAGCCGGAGAAAGGGGGGGGGGGGGGACTGTGATACTTTATTACAATGGATATGACACCAGACGAAATGGTGTGGAAGTAGCGAAGCAGAGTCCTTTGAAGATTCTGCCTCCGCCATCAACAGTTCCGGACTCGAATCATAGCTAAGAGGATAAACACGAAGGAGAAACTGGACAGTAATATCTGCGCACACACCGCAAGCCGGCTGCCCTTCGTTTGGAAAGGATGAGTTCTATCTTAGTTCTGACGATGTCATCAGATCAGTCCCGGCAGAGGAGTATCTCACTATAGCAGGTGATCTGAATGAGAGACAATGACATAGAGCCATTCGGCAGTGAACGGCTGAGCTTGGAAAGAGTTCACTGAGGCAAAGGAATAGGAGTCAGAAATCAAAAAGAAGGGAGAGTTCTTGATCGACCATAGCCAATATACTAACAGTTTGCAGCGCGGTTTTTCGCGAAAAGGAAGACCCAAAATAAACCCTGAGGCAAAGGAGGGAAACAATCAGAAATTGACCACACCTGAGTAATCGGTCTCTATTAATCGATACAGCCTCGAGCTTCCCGAGAAATCAATAACAAGAACGGAGAAGGGAAAACAGAAAAGTAGTTAAAGTCGAGGTGCGAGGTGAACTCTGGTAAAGGCTTGAAAGTTCGAGGAGACCATAAGCGTGGATCTGGAACGACGAAGTCCAACACGTTGTGTGGTGGAAGAAAGCCGCTTGCAAGCGCTGGTCAAGAAAAGGAGCTTCAGAGAGCTGCCCAAAGCAAGGGTAAAAAAGGCAAAGGTAAAGAATACCGAAATGGCTTGTATGAGAGTTCGTGGTTGAGAAGGAGGAAGGTATGTCCACGGTCTGGTTAAAGCTTGGCATCGGCTACTCAAAGCTTCGGAGTGATGAGGAGCGCAAAGGGCGCGACAGTGCAATCCTGATGAAGCTTAGACAGGTCAGGCAGTAGGGAGACTCTTCATTAAGCTATTAGACGGAGATCTCCATCGTGAATACAGTTCCTAAGTGGAGGCAACAGCTGGCAACAGCGGGTGTAGGTGTCAACACACATTTGACCATGAACATCGATACATATGGAATCTCATCTGCCCGAATAGGTCGTTTGCGATTGAGAAGATGTGTCTCAACTCCAGCTCTAACAGCCTTCGTTGTTTGCGCATCAACATCGAGCTACGCCGGAGAAGTGTTGGAAGTGTTTCGCATGGATTTGGAGAGGCAGACCATGCGTCATATGAAATGGGAAGGCATGGGAGTGAAGGTCGACGGCCGCTACTTACATCGTCTCCGCTTTGCATATGACATCGTGCTTATAACAGCGAACATCGAGCAGGCGGAACAAATGCTGGAACAATCAACAACGCTTGTGGAATGATCGATTACAACTGAACCTAATAAAGAGAATGTTCATGAGACCGGTTGTACCTGATGCTCCATGAACGCTTGACGGAACGAACATCTCTGAACGCTCCAGCTATGTGTGGCTGAGTCGAGAAGTCAATATGATGAACGATCCGGCACCGGAACTGAGCAAAAGGAAACACTCGGCACGGGAAACATCAAAGAACATCGAGGGAGTAGTAAAGAAGACGAAGATCATCGGTTCCGCGCTCACCCTCTCGACACTGGGTCCTTACCGCTTTGTCATACGCCTCAGACTTGGACTCTACGAAAGCAGGATGAGCATGCTGTCAGCGTTACTCAACGCGCTTCAGAAAGGACGATGCTCAATTTCCCTATACACGCAAGCGAATCGGGAGTTCCGAGCTCCGTCGACAAACGAAGACCAGGGATGCCGTTGATTACGCCAAGAGATCGATCAGACTGTGGTTACGGACTGAGTCCCTAGGGACGTCAAATGAACACCAGGACGATCGCCGGCCCGATGATCATATTTCTTCACAAAAGCTCTGAAAGAATGTGGGATGTCTTACCCGTATCCCTCGAGCTACTCTGGCTCGCCACAAGAGCGAACGGAGGCGTTGCTGGCGCTCCCTCGAGGAAATCGATGACAAACGGGACGAAAGTGATATGTCACGTGATAGCACATTCTTCTCTATATAAGGCGCGAATTTTATGTATCTGCTTGTATGTCTGTTTGCGTGGTCAGGCGCAGGCGCGATGAGGATTGTGGATTGCGAAACGTCACGCGGGCGTATGTTAACATGGGTCAGGGACGGAAGACTACCGATGCCATTCACATCAAAGCAAGAGCAGTTGCAGTTGCTGAGCAAATTATATAGCAGTTCAGCCTCGCACTCAAAGCATGTTGTGCGAGATGTGACGGTGTCGTGGACAAAGGTGAATGACAACTCTTCACGCCTTTCGTAGCAACAGTGTCTAAGCCTGACCAATCCAATTGCTCGTCATAGCATGGCAACATGTGACGTTAAAATCCTTCGTTCACCTCTGCCACTAGCTGAGGAGAACGGTTTCTATAAACGGTGACAAAGGTCTCAATGAGGCAGTTTTTCAAAAATATTAACACATGAAAATATGGGGCTTATCGTCGTTTACGGCGACGATCACCATAACTATCTCGTCGTCTTACTGTCTGAGACGGCTCCCTCTAGCTGAACCCACGCCCCTAAAGGGTGCGGGGTCAAGCGGCCCCGAGATATGTGGGTCCCTCATTCTACCTAACGCAACAGCAAAGGCAGCACGTGGGTTTTGTGTCGTTTAGATAAATACTTAATTACTCTTTCTTTCTGTGCATTCATAGCTGTAGCGAACGTACTTATTATTACATTTGCTGTATTCTCACTCCGTAACACCGGAGTTACTAATGTAAAGCCACTGAACCGCCAATACAGGGCTATTTTGCGAAGAGGGATTCAATTTATTCTTGCGGTGGAGCTTCCCTCAATTAGAGGGAGCATTCCAGTCTCTTTTGTAACTCAAAGATTAAAAGCTTGACGTAGGCCGGGTTATCGGATGGTGTATAATTGACGGGGGCCAATAATTTATTAAATAGATATGCGTGCATGCCATGAATTTTATGGTGTTACACACAGAAGCTCCAGTAATGGTTGTCAAGAAATGAGAATGTGTGCAGAAATAAGTATAAAGATATATCAACGGGAAACAACGCGAGAGATCAATAACAGAACAAGAAAGACGGTGGACTATAGAACACAGGAAATGAGAATGGAAAAGGAATCAGCTGAGAAGAGATCATCGACAAGTTGTTTACGATACACAACGATAGCTCTGTGATTTGGCAACTCTCACACAGGACTAGAAGAAATACACACAGATATATCATAAGTCAGCGAATGTGCTGTCATCTAATACGCGTACGATGCCGAACGTTTTTCAAAATAGAAATTCAACGTCGAATTAGCTTTTTTCTCTAATATATAGCTTGCTTATTATAGCTTGCAGATAGGACTAAAAGCGGCAGCCCATAAATATCTAGCTAAAGTTCATCTACGTACAAAGATATAGAGCTTTCTCACATGGACACCTAAAAGCCAAATAGATCTAGGGGAGACATTAATACGAATGAAATTGTTACTGTGCGAATCGTGACAGCATGAAAATACCCTTGCATAGCTTCAAAGAACAATTCAGTAATTATACTACATATATTTTGTCAATGAACGAAACAAATAGCGAATAAAGCTTTAGACATCTCTGGAAGGGGGGTCAACAGACTAGGCGGCTGACTTCAGTGTTCCGTTGGTAGCTGACGCCTTAACTTTCATCTGTCCAGCCATCAATGGATTTATCGCATAAAGCCAGTCATACATCTGAAAAAATAGAACTTATTTTAACAAACAGGCTGCTCAAAGAAATTGAAAAGAGACTCCAGAGCGGTATCATCTGCCTACAGTAAGCGTCCAGTCATGGGTCACTCCATGCTCAGCGCGGTGAGGGTAAAGACTTCTTTTTCCACTGCAGGTGGGCAGCATTCAGAGCATGGTACCCAATGACAAACAGAGAACGCAATTCCCTTAGATCAAAATACACACTGCTACCACCCACATGCCACAAATGTATTGCAGATTACCCATCAAGCCAACCAATACTCCCATCCCCAAGAGACCGAGGAGAAGGAGCGGTGCTCGATTCACCAGCAAAAACCACTACATAGGCCGACCCGAGAGGAAATTGAGCGGACTTTAGACGGCACTGTTGACATCAAGAACCTTATCCCTATCACAGTCGTTGTTAAGCGCTGTTACTTGAGATCCTGTAAATATAAGCTTCCCCTGTACGCCTCACTTCATATCAAACACTGCTTAGTTAGTAGAGAATGAATGAACAGTTGATAGTAGTGGCATATGAAAAAGTACAAACCTCATCACCGGGCATGATCTGCATAAGGAATCCACGATTATTCGTACAAACAGAGAAAGTGTTCGGAACTTTCAGCATCGCCTGCTGATCCTCTGAATATTCAACCCTAGCGTTCGCTAAGTTGATGATACCACGAATCACCTGCAAGAGTTGTAATTAAAGAGCTTAAAATAAAACCCCTTTCTTCCATAATGATTTTAACCCGGTCTAATCTTTTAGTACAAATCAAGATTCCAGCAGATTATATCCATGTGTGCTACTAGACCTAAACGTCACCGACCGTATCTTTTCGTGTATTCTTCTACAAGCATTCTCAGCGTATCGAAAATTTCGAATTATCATCTGAACTTTCTATGTCTTAGCCATTCCAATACTCAAAAAGGAAATCACACTTTTTAGAGGTAGGAAGCAGTCACAATGGAGAAGCAGCCCTTCTCAGTCGATCAGCAGAGCCTACTTATGAAGCATTTCTATTTGTTATGAATAAGAGGCCCTTTCGGCGCGCAAACAAAAAATTGTTGTAATTGGTTTAGCCACCTGGATTATAAATAAATGAATAAATTAAAAAAGAACACGAAAACTGACCAAGTCCTTCTCGTCCCGGAACAGAAGAATATAAGGTCGTCGAACAACAACCCAACGTCTCGTCCAACCTTGCGTTTTCTCCTCGAGGAAGTTCATATAGCCCTTGCGTGAAACAACGACACCAACCCGCTCTTCCGTCACCTGGAATCAATTGAAGTAGTTACAGCTAACACTGGGCGAACAAACATAATATCAATATCATTCGAGACCGGGAACTCCCGTTTCTGACGTGCACTGGGCGAAACTGCCTTCCGGACTCGGATCCCTACCTTTCAAGTAGCAACGAGACTCACCTCAGGTACAAGGAGATTAAGCTGACTGAGACGACTACCACTAAGACTTCGTTTCATGGCCAAGTGATCGAGAACATCATCAGTGCAGCTAAGATTCTGATCCGATTTCGATTTTTGCCTACTCAACTGGTCCAGTGAGGGTGACGCCTTCACAACCGATCTGAACAAGGAGTTTTACAAGAAAGGGTTGTAATGTTACCGAAAATAAAGCACTTACTGGTCGGTCGTTGGTGAAGTAATACTATTACTGCTGCTCTCATCGCTAAGTTCTTGAGCTTTGTTACCAGTTGGTGGGTCTTTATTTACCGGGATTCGTTGTGTGATCAGGCGAATCACCTTATTGACAATGCCTAAATGTTCAAGGATGACGATGTAATTAAATGAATCCGTTAATAGTACGAAAGTTCAGAAGTCATGATGCAGTAACTACGTAGTTCTGTAAAAAGTCACTCTTCAGAAGAGGAGGAAGCCGTTGAACTCACCCTTTTCTTTCTCGTTCAGTTTCACTGTCTCAGGAATTGCACAAACCGGACTGCAAGGTGAGACAGGTGTTCGCAGTTCTCCCGGTTTCCTCTTCCCTTTCAGCTTATCGCGAAGACGGAGAAACAAGCGAACCCGTTCGACCTGAGGTAGAAAACACTGAGAACTCAGGGTTAATCATTTCGTGAAGATTAGGAGAGACATCAAAACAAAGATATCGTATTCGCCATGAATATAAGATTAGAGTCCCTGGAGGAGTCTATAGCAACCGGAGGGATTTTATACACCACGCGAAACTCCCACACAATGATTTTGCAGACGATGAAAAGGAGTAAGATAGCAATGGAAGGTTACCTGCTGCAGTCGTGTAAGTTTCTCCAACTCCCACTGATGTTCAAAGATGAGCGAATCACCGCGTGGGCGCCACTGCCCTAGATTCTCCTCACCACGGACATATGCCGACGAAGTGTCGAGCACTCGTCGTTGGCGACGTATCGCTCCTAAATGTATTCATCTGAGCGAATGGAGCTTTCTTCAAGATAGGTCCGAGGAAGGGGAACAGCCTCATCATGTTAGAGCAGAAGCGAGCAGTGCTGGTGAAAGGTAGTTCTAGGTGATTTGTTTGCCTCAAGCAGCAAGTTAATGTGAAAGCTGTTCTACATGTAAAATAGAAATACCTAAAAGGGCATAAAACCCAGATTCAGTGCACATTCGTTTGCAGTAAGCTAGTTGAGCAGAGAGGGTATTAGTTGGGAGTCGTTGCTTATAGGAAGCAGCGTAACGAGACACACAAAAGCATGTTGTTAGCGTACCGGGACTACCTGAGTCGGTTGCATCTTTCATGCATAACTGATAGACTCCTGGCACTCGATTCATCTCTGGCGACTTCGAAATACCACCGATCAACGAACGACAGAATCTGCAACATGGAGATTTCACATAGCATATATAAAATAATTGTAATAAAGTCGAAGTCTTTCGGCGTTTATCCAATGCGCCCTGCACTCGGATTCCCTTCAGATTCGTAGCGGCGTTATGAATAAGTACAATGACTTGCGGTACCCAGCCGAAGTACTGGTCAGTGGTTTTATCCTTCCAGACTTTTTAATAACAACTGGACGATCCTAGAGGTATGGAATTATCGGTTGATTTAGGCGGATATTCTTCCGGGATCCGAACCCGTGACCATACGTGTGTGGTAGGGCACCACTTGTCACTACACCACCTCCGCCCGAAATAAGCATTTTAAATTACATGAGTAAGTGCAATGATCCAGCACAAATATCAGAGAGCTTTTCTGAACATATTTTTGATCCTTTTGTCCTTGCACATAATTTCCTTTCTATGTTAGTATGAGACCAGCGCTCTATGTTCCGATCGTTTCGTTGGATAATGATGCCGAGCGAAGGTCACTGTTAACTCACTTTCCCTCATTCCAGCTTACATAAAATGAGTATTCTTGTCTAGAAAAAAAGCCAAAAAATGGGAATTAGAATTTCTCCGGAGTATTGATGCGGCAGCTATGTAGCGTTACGATGGTTAGCGCGAA